TGGTAAGTGGATCCCTGCATCATTAACAATAGGGTTTTAGGTAGAAGTCTATCGGCCTTCAGAAGAGTCAGGAAAACATTTTATTCAGTCTGTGCCCCATGGGCGAAGCAAATCTAATTTCTCCTCCTGAACCCTCCCAATTTGTCTCTACAGACTCTCTTCTACTTGTTCTTCTGTTTTCGCACGGCGCTGACCTTGCGTCGGCTAAAGAACAGTAGGGAGGAGGCTTTGTCAGCCCTGAGCCTATGTGGTGGAAGCTGCAGAGGGACAGGAGAGTCCTCCAGATCAAGTTGCTTCTTGCTGTCAGCAACACATCCCCTTTCATCTGTCTTTGTTTTTCTTTTACCTGCTCCTGCAGGCTACAAACATCTGAGGCTTTGAAACAAGCTCACATTTTTCCCCTAAATGAGAGGAGGAAGCCCCTTGGATGAGAGGCAGCTCCAACCGCTCCCCTGCTCTCTCCAGGGTTCTCCGGTGACTGGCCCTGCCTGACTCCACCTGGTGTGGGACCAGCATGTGTGGAGAAAGAGGTCTGAGTGTCCCGTCCACAGATTGGCTAAATTGAGCTGCCAGTTGAAGCGAAGCCTAGGCTGCAGGAAATAAGAAGAGGAGCCTCGGGGCAGACCATGAGCTGTGTCCTGGTTCTGAAGTCACCGGCTGTATGAGGCTGTGGGAACAGCATGTGGGACACAGCACAGAGGACAGTGGTGATACACTTGGAGAAATAGTGAGAATCACCTCTACGGGCTCTGCATAAGCAGAAAGGGCAATGCCAAAAAGTGTGTATTTATAGAGAGGGTAAGACTGCCAGACACTTTGTATATGTCTAATATATCATTAACTATTTCTAATTGTGTAATTTAGTGTTGTATAACAATCCACACTATCTATTTCAGATCTTTTCCTTTTACAGTATTAAATTTCTTTACCGATAAACAGTAACTCTCCTCCCTTCTCCCCTAACTTCTAGCACCCATCATTGTACTTTCTGTCTCTATGTAACTGGCTATTCTATCTTTCATATATGGAATTATATAATAATTATCCTTTTTGTCTGGCTTATTTCAGTTAGCATAATGTCTTCAGGTTCATCCATTTTTGCATGATGTACTGGAATTTTATTCCTTGTTAAGGTTGAATAACATTTCGATGTATAGATATACCTCATTTGCCTACCCACTTATCTTTCAATGGACTTTTCCATTGCTTCCTTTTAGCTATTGTGAGTAATGCTTCTCTGAACATCAATGTGCAAATATTTCCTCAAATCTCTTTCAATTCTATAGGGAGTATGTACAGAAGTGGAATTGCTGGATCAAATGGTAATTTATTGTTTAATTTTTTGAGAAACAGCCATACCACCTTTGATGGCTATAACATTTCCCATTCCCATCAGCAATGCACTAGAGCTCCAATTTTTCCATCTATTTGAAAATATTTGATGTTTTGTGTTGCTGTCATTGTTGTTTATCAAAGCCATCCTAAAGTGTGAGGTGGTGTCACATTGTGGTTTTGATTACATATCTCTAAATATTCATGACATTGAGGAACTTTGCATGGGCTTATTGGATATTTGTATATCTTCATGGAAAACTCTATTTTAATCAGCTTTGTTCATTTTTTTAATTGGGTTTTTGGATGTTTTGCTGTTGTTATTGTAGTTTTCATGTATTCTGGAAATTAATTTCTTATCACACTTCTAATTTGCAAATGTTTTTCTCATTTCATGGGTTGCCTTTTTACTCTCTTGATAATGTTCTTTGATATATGAAAGGTTTTGATTTTTATGAAGTCCAATTTATAAATTTTATTTGTTGCCTGTGCTTTTGATGTTGCAACCAAAAAATCATTTGTGAAATCCAATATCAAGCTTTTCTCTATGTTTTCTTCAAGGATTGTGTAGTTCTGCTCTTACATTTAGATCTTTGATTTATTGTGGGTTAATTTTTGTATATGATGTTAGGTAAAGGTTCCACTCATTCTTGACCTTAGATATCCACCTTTCCCAATATCATTTGGTGAGAACACTGTCCTTTCAACATTGAATGATCTTGGCACACTCATTAACATTTGACCATATATACAAATATTTCTATCTGGAGCTCTCTGTTCTGTTTCATTGTTTCTATGTCCTCCTTTATGCCAGTACCACACTGTATTGATTACTGGGACTTGGTAGTAAATGCTGAAATCAGGAAGTGTCAGTTCTCCAGCTTCATTCTTCCTCTTCAAAGTTGTTTGTCTATTTAGAGTCATGATATTCAATATAAATTTTAGGACCGATTTTTCTTTTTCTGCAAAAATGTCACTGAGTTTCTGATAGGAATTGTATTGAATCTGCAGCTCACTTTGCGTAGCATTGTCCTCCTTACAATATTGAGTCTTCTAATTCATGAAACAAAGTGTCTTTCAATTTATTGATGTCATCTTTAGGCAATATTTTATGGATTTCAGGTATAATCATTTCACCTCTTTGGATAAACTTATTCCTAACTATTTTATTCTTTTTGATATTAATACAAATTAAATTTTTTAAAATTTCCCTTTAGATTGTTCATGGGTAATGTATTGAAATACAATTGATGTTTGTTGATTTTGAATTGTGCAACATTACTGAATTCATTTATTAATTCTAATAAGAGTTTTGTTCCATCTTTAGGATTTTCTACATATGAATTCAAGTTATCTGTGAACAGAAATAATTTTACTCCTTTCTTTCAATTTGAGTATATTTTCTTAAATTCTTGCTAATTTTCTGACTAGAACCTTTCAATACTACATTGAATAGAAGTGTCAAAAGCAGCATTCTTGTCTTGTTCACTGCTCATACAGGGAAAGCTTGCAGTCTTTGTCTATTTGAGTATGATATTAGCATTGGGTTTTCACATATTGACTTTATGTTGAGGTCATTTCCTTGCATTCTTAGTTAGAATGTTTTCATTATCAAATATGGAGATTTCATCAAAGCTTTTATTGATTCATTCTTATTACCGATTATAGTTCGCATCATGTTTTTGTGTTTTTCTGAAATTTGTCTATTTCATCTAGGTTATCAAATTTTTGACATACAGTGTTTACAGTACTTTCATAATCATTTTATTAGAATTGATAGTAGTCACTTCATTTTATTTTTTTTCTTTTCACTTGTTTTTATTTTTTATTTTTTTTTCTTTGGAGAGAGAGAGACAGGCTCTCATTCTGTAGGCCAGCCCAGGCTGAAATACAGTGGTGTGATTAGGGATCACTGCAGCCTCAACCTCCTGGGCTTAAGCAATTCTCCTTCTTCAGTCTCCCAAGATACTCGGGTTACACATGCATGCCACCATTCCCAGCTAATGGGCTTTTAACTTTTTGGAGAGAAGGTCTCCCGGGTTACCTATGCTGGTCCAAACACCTGGCCTCAAGCAATCCTCCCATTGTGACCTCCCAAAGTGCTAGGATTAAAATATGACCCACCATGCTCAGATTCCATTTTCATATCTGATTTTAGTAATTTTAATCTTCTCTCTCTTTTTCTTAGTCAGTCTAGTTAATGGTCGTCAATTTTGTTGATTTCATTTTGAAGAATCAACTTTCATTTCATTAATTACTCTATTCTTTTCTATTCTCCATTTTATTTTATCTACTCCTAATCCTTATTATTCATTCATTCACTGTGCTTGGTTTAGTTTCTTCTCATATCTAAAGTATTAAAAAGTAGGTTGCTGATCTGAGATCTTTCTTCTTTTAAGTAACAGTTTACAGTTATAAATTTCTTGCACAAGACTCTTAACTTCTCTGAACCTCTGGTTCCTCACCCAAAAATTGCAATGAGAGAGCTTGCTTCATACCATTCTTTTAAAGGTTTAATGTAGTCAATGAAACAAGATGCCACACACAGAGTAACCAATGTCACCTGCTATATTAATACCATCGTCATTAGCTTTGAGGTCAAATAGTCTTAGAATCAAATGTCAGATACACCTATTACTAGCCATATGACATCAGAAGAGTTTTACACTACTCTAAGCTCTGTCTTTCATTGGCAAAATGGAAATAATGTCTACCTGACAGGGTTACTGTGTGAAATAAATGAGGTACAGGTAAAGTATTTAGCACAGGTCCTGGCACATAGGACGTGCCCCTCAGCAGTACCTATTTTCATATACATATAGAAAAAGAGCACCACGTAAAACACTAGGACATGGTGACTGACTAGTAATTGGGAAAGGGGAGAAAAAGCTAAGTACAAAGAATCAAGCCTGGTGTGTTTAAGTTTTTATAACTGAGATGCATCCAGGATGGGATTAGACATTTAAGATAATTTATCAGGGAAGACACCTCTGAGGGAATGTGGGGCAGGCATGAAGGTAGTATGGGAGAACCCACTGCAGACCACTAGCCACCAAAAGCTAGCTCACTGAAAAGAAGAAAAAGAATTTTTGGAAATTATCAATTCAGTTCTAAGAGAGTTTTTGCTGCAAGGCTGATGCAGAAGTCTTCCAATCAGTCACCCGCATGAAAGTTAAAGAGAGCCTCCAGAAGACTGACCCTTTCCACACCTTGCTGGGAACCTGTGGGAAGGAAGCTTTCTGTGCAAAGGAGGTGGTGAATTTGAAATGCACTGACCTGGGCCTTCTGTCAATCCTGTCAATCATGGAGACCTGGCAGGGTCTCATTCATGGCTGCCACACAGAACACTGAAAAAGATGCAGCCATGAAAGGTGGAAAGGTATGGAAAGTTCTAATGACATGAAAATAGCAGTCGGCCTTTCTGCATCCGAAAGCTTTCTGAAATATCTAATCTAACTAAAGTAACCAAGGAGCAATCCATAACCTAGAAAACATAGTGAAGGTAAAAACATGGAGATAACAAACAATCTCCCATCAATTTTCCAACAGAAATAATGCATTCCTTGAAGAAATAATTATAGAGTACCTCATGTTACATACTTGATTCCTGAGGCTCTTCCCTGTAAAATAACATCATCTCCATTCCTTTTCATTTCTTTCCATGACAACTCCTTCAGGAAGAGGACATATTCCTGGCCTTAATCCCATATATCAGCCGTGATGTCATTTCTGTATTTCAGGAAGACTGGCCGTCATGGTGGTCTTTTCTCCTGTCCTGTTTCCTGCAGGACTGGCTACCATCTTGGGAGCATGAAAGACTTATTGGCCTGTATCTGGGACTGGATCTCCTCCTTCTTCCACCTAAACCCCTGAAAACTGGCACTAATTCCTGCAGTTCCCTTTCTCCCTGGCCTTTATGCTCCCTCTACCCCAATGTCTTTTAGACATAATTATCTCCAGCCTCTGCTCGTTTATTTCTCAGATTCACATGAGAAACACAATTTCACATTGTAAACCTCTTCATTATTTTTAACATCTCTCAGCGTGTAGTTTCTATCATTCCCATAAAGCTCAACCACTTCTCAGTATTGCTTGACTTGTCTCCAGGAACTGACTGCCATATTTCTCCTTTACCTTTCTAAATCTAGTTAATTCACTTAATCAAGAATCCCCAAGGGTTTACTCTAGCTGTTGGTAAGTTCACAGTTCTGTATTTACTAATCCTTCTCACTTCCTTTACCTCTACTTCCTAGTATAATTCCTCCATCCTAATTAGAACTCTCCTCCTACACATCCTGTGCTTCACCCATATATACATAAAATTCTTAGTTCCAATGCAATGCCTAAAAACGAGTGTGAACTCCCCTAAACCATCTGCACTACAATTAACCACACCTTTCACCACAACCTGATCTCCGACCTGGTGGAGAACAAAGACTTATGAATAGCCTGTGAACCTGAGAGTCAAGGACACAACCTATGTGAGGTTGAGACCTTTCCTGGTGACCAATTCATGTGTTCAAAAAGATAAAGAAATAAGAAAAGCAAGTCCCTACCCCAGGTGACATAAAGCCTAAAGACAGAAATGGAGAAACCTGAAAATAATCATGATACCAAAATAAGAAAGAGTGAAGACCACCAAGAAATCAAGAGAAATCTGATGGGAAATATACCTACACATTGGAATCACTGGAAAACATTTTTAAAAGTGGATGCTCAAGCCCCACCCATGAGTTCCAGTTTAAAGGTCTGGTGAGGGACCCAGGCACTGGTAATTTTTATGTCTTCCCTGACACTACAAACATGTAAAAAGGATGGGAGAACTCTTGTTGTAATAGGTGAACTTAAAACTAAATCAATGATTTTTCAGCTAGAAGTACTACAGTATTACCTAAGGACAACTTTTCAACATACATAAGACTACACTTTTTTGGCCCTAATTATTCATGGGCTACACCAAGAACTCAATAATCAGTTGGGAAACAAGAAGCTGAATGGAAAAACCACCTTATTTGATATGTTAAGAAATATATATAAAGCATTTTAAATGAGTGATAAGTGATGCCTAAACCTTCTCTAAATAATATTTGTAAGAATGTTAATAACATGAGTATTCCTAGGCTGAGGCGCGGTGGTGCACGCCTGTAATCCCAGCACTTTGGGAGGCTGAGGTGGGCAGATCATGAGGTCAGGAGATCGAAGCTATCCTGGCTAACACGGTGGGCTCCCCGTCTCTACTAAAAATACAAAAACAAACAGTGGGCGTGGTGGCAGGTGCCTGTTCTCCCAGCTACTCGGGAGGCTGGCAGGGGGCAGGAGAATGGTGTGAACCCGGTAGGTGGAGCTTCCAGCGAGCCAGATCGATGTTGCACTGCTCTCCAGCCTGGGCAAACAAGCAAGACTCTGTCTCAAAAAAATAAATAAATACATTTTTAAAATGAGTATTCTAAAAACTATGTAAATTTCTGAAATCGAATATATTATCAGTAATAGTGTCATGTGCCATAAGAAGTAACTAGATTTCTATGTGAGCTGTGTCTTTACCATAATAAACCTAATGAAAATCAAATTAGATTTTTAACCACAGTGATTTTAAATATTTGTCTGTTCACAGACAGTTGGTTTGACTCTTTCTGAAGTATTTACAATCAGCTACAGTCAAGTGGTTTTCTTCAAGAGATATATGAAAAGACTCTGACAATGACTCTTGAATGCAAGTTTCTGAAAATTTCAAGATCATACCACTGGACTCTCTGAGAGCTGTTGAAATTTTAATGAACAGGCTGATACCTTCATGAAATTCAAGACAAAGAAGAAAAAAACTCAATTTCAATGGACTTCATAAATAATCAAAGGATAATGTTTTTCATAATTTTTATTTGAAAATATGCTGATTCTTTGAATGTTTATTCTCAGGTTATGAACTTTCTCTTTTAGGCTATTTATGCTTTACCTTGAATTTGGTAAGTACACTTTGTAAACAAAAATTGAAATATTTGCTTTGGCTCCCTATCTGAGTGCTTACAATTGAAGCTATTCATGAGGATTCATATGCTTATGGTAATAAAGTTATTTGCACAAGTTCAGTAAGAATCTACTCTCTTTATAACAGGACACAATTTGAAAGCTTATTGTATATTACCAAGGTTTGACTGGGATGCTCTGTTGAGAATATGCATAGGAATAAGCCCATAAAATAGGCTCAAGTCTAAGAAGTTATCCTTAGTTTAGCTAGTCTCAAGAGGTTTTTGAGTTTAATCTGAGAATCCTATAAAACTTCCTAGCAAAAGCAAAAGTTTAAAAAAGATCCTCTATAGTCATTATTACTCTTCCTACGCAAGTAAAAAAACTGAAACGGGATTGGTGAGACTCAACCTATTTGCATGAGATGGGGTTTAGTGGCTTCAATTTACGGCTGGTAGAAATGAGACTCTATATAGAGAGAAAATTGTGTTGGAAGAAAAACTGTGGTATACCTGTTACCAGACTGAACCACTGTTCATTATCTTTGAGTATTTATAATCCACTGGTAGACTGGACTGTACCCTGAATTCTTTTAGTTCTTCCAATTCAATTTGCTCCAATGAAATCATTAAGAACAAGAACAGCTCTGTTTCTGAAGCCATATAATCTGGAGGTGGACAACTCAATGTAAATTTCATGGAAAAACCCTCATGTCTGAGGTGTGGAGCCCTCAGAGCTCACCAAATATTCAGACCATAACTTAGAGAAACCCAAACTGCAAACCCACGACAACAAGTTGATGACTTCGTTGTGGACAACCTTCTCAAGATGTCAGAACAAGATTATCAATCATGATGAGACTCTTACCTCTCTTAATTTGTCCTTGCTTATACCTGTCTCCTTTGCTTCCCAGAATAATGCTGTACTTAGGATTTCACAAGAAGTAGCTTCTGGGAAACAAGTTAACAAGCGTCAGATATATCACATCAACCACGCTTTTTTTTTTTTTGGATGGAGTTTTCTCTTGTTGCCCATGCTGGAGCGCAATGGCACAATCTTGGCTCACCACAACCTCCGCCTCCTGGGTTCAAGTGATTATCCTTCTTCAGCCTCCCTAGTAGCTGGGATTATAGGCATGCACCACCACACTCGGCTAATATTGTAATTTTAGTAGACGGGGTTTATCCATGTTGGTCAGGCTGGTTTTGAACGCCCAACCTCAGGTGACCGCACGCCTCGGCCTCCTAAGGTGCTGGGATTACAGGCATGAGCCACTACACCTGGCCCACACATTTTTACATAACACATCAGATCCTTTTAGTCCGCCCCAAAGCTGGCGGTGCTGCATCTTTAACACAACTTTTTCCTCAAATGTCGGCGGGTTTTTAGGCTTCACTTCTATACTTGCCTATTCTTCTCCTCTCTGTTTTAATTTAACATGAGTATGCAATGCTAGAAAAATAGAATTGCTCTCTACCAGCTCAAAAGGAAAGCCTATTTGCAGTTTCTGACACTTCTTGTTGCACATGGATAAATACATCGGGTTCTAGAGAGACTCAATTGTAAAAATCAACAAATGTGCTGCCTGGTTAAAATGACTAGACTCTTCTGGCTTCTTTATTCTATTTGTACTTGGTTCTGCATCTTGCTTAAAGGTGCATACTCCAGCTCTTGATATTCTCGTTCTGATAGTCATACTGGTAGTCTCCTTATGAGGTACACAGTCTACGAACATTTTTACTTCTGTGCAAATAATTGTGAGAACGCGCCATCCTTCAAATATCAAATTGTTTCTCTTGGGCTGGAATTCAAAAACTCAAGAAATGTGTGTGGTTTATGGGCCAGGAGGCAGTGGCTCACATCGTGAATCCCAGCACTTTGGGAGGAAAAGGCAGGCAGATCACAAGGTCAGGAGTTCGAGACCAGCCTGGTCAATATGGTGAAACCCTGTCTCTACTAAAATTACAAAAATTAGCCTAGTGTGGTGCTGCACACCTGTAGTCCTGTAGAGAGCCCCCTGAAACCATTGCTATGGAATAAAAAGTGAAATGCTCTGATTATTGTAAATACAAAATTGCATGCAGGATTGTGTAAAGACAATGCCAGGCTGGGCTGCCACAATGAGCCAACAGTGCGTGATGTGCTTCCCCATGCAGATAGCCTGTGTGGCCAGATGTGTAGTCGGGAGATTTCTGTCACAAAGTTCTCTCTAGAAAAGCAGATGTTCATAGCTGTAGAATTGGGAATGCAACCCTGTAGAGAAACCTATAAATAGACATGAGAGCACCTTTCATATGGATAAGATAAGTTATAACGCCCTTATCTTGCCACGGCTCTTCTGGGTCTCTTTAAGAGTTAAGGCATACTCCTTCTGATAATTTTTGGTTTAGCCAGTTGTCACAAGCTTCACTTCCTGTTTCTACTGATTGTTTGCAACCAGCTTTGACTGCAACTGTCACTGCTGATTAATATCTTGCTAATCATAGGTTATGGATAGACTGTGTTTCTGTTTTAAGACTCTGTTAGAAAATGCTGAAGCACACACCATGTTGCTAATTCTTATCTCATATACTCTACTTCTGCATGTCGATGTTATGTTAAGAATTACTAATCCCAATGTGACCATCTCTTCAAGAATCAAACTACCCTAAATCCCTCACTAACCTACCTGCCTCCACTAAACTTAATAATAAATGCTGGTATATCCGTGCATTAGGCGCATCCACAGGACAAAATGTAATCCACCACCCCTGGGCTCAGCTTTCACTATCTTCTGTGTGTCTTTTACTTCTTGACCTGCCTATCCACCTGGGAACAAAGAAAGAGCCCTGTTGCATTGTGGGCTGCTGGCCAGATCCTGCAATATAATCCCAGCTACTTCAGGATGCTGAGGCAAA